CAGTCTCAAGATCCCGTACTTCCAGAAAAGGGCGCAGCTGGAGTATCACACAAGAAAGCAGATAGATTTAGGGCCTTTGCAGACTGCCAGAAATAGTGCAAATTGAGTCCACTTTAAGGGTTAGGGTTAGTGCTAGGGAATCATGGGAACTGTTTTTTTTCTGAGACATTGAGCCTTCTCTGTCAGAGAGCTCTAGTGCCACAATAAAATACAGTTCCCATGATTCCCTAACCCTAACCCTTAAAGTGGACTCAATTTGCACTATTTCTAGCAGTCTGCCATACAGCTTCATTTCTTCTCCCTGCATTTGTATGTCATCTGTGCCCAAATGTAGTCTAGCTGATATGCATTTTTCTTTTGCAAACTTGTACACATTTGAGAACATCAGCTGTCACATTTAATTCTCTCCATGTTATACAAGAGTTAATTTCAACACTGCTAACAAGCACGGCTGACAAGCATTTCTCCCCCTTTTCCCTAGTTGCCCAAGGTATGGCTGTTGCCTTCATTATCTGATGGCCTGTTTCTCTGGCCTCTAATGAAACTGAGAAGGCCAAGGAAATTGCTATTAATTTTAAACTAACCTAATAATTTTTACAATACCGACAAATAATTTGTGATGTTTGCAAAGCTGGTAAAAATTGTGCAGCAGAGGAGCAGGATAGAAATAAATAAATAAATAAATAAATAAATAAATAATTATTATTATTATTATATGTCTGTGGGGTAGGGGAGGGAAGAAATGATGCAAGAAATGTGGGTTAGCAAATGCAGGAAAAAGTAGGCAAGCCAGAAATAGTGCACATTTTCAAACTGCCAGAAATAGTGCACATTGAGTCCACTTTAAGGGTTAGGGTTAGGGAATCATGGGAACTGTATTTTATTGTGGCACCAGAGCTCTCTGACAGAGAAGACTCAATGTCTCAGAAAAAAAAACAATTCCCATGATTCCCTAGCACTGAGCCAGGGCAGTTAAAGTGACCTCAGTTTGCACTATTTCTAGCAGTTTGCAAAGGCCCTAAGTTCTTATAACTATATGTATTTCTGCATTTCAGTTCCCTCTGACATAGCTGTTTACAGGCCTTCCCTTTCCTACCATGAATGTGTGTAGGAGTAGATATGTCTCTGAGTGTGTACACACACACCTATCTATAATTCAACATGAATTTTATTTAATTAGGCACATTTATTGTGGGTGTGTATGTGCCTTTAAGTTACTTGTCGACTTATCACACTCCCATTAATTTCATAGGGTTTTCTTAGGCAAGGAATACTGAAGAGGTGGTTTGCAATGGCCTTCCTCTGAAATATAGTCGACAGCAGGGGTAGGCAACCTTTCCCCTTTAAGGGCCGAGGGACTTCAGCTCCCAGAAGCCTCAGCCATGTTGGCCAATAGTCCCATGTTGGCCAATAGCTCCTGGGATTCTGGGAGCTGAAGTCCCTCGGCCCTTAAAGGGGAAAGGTTGCCTACCCCTGCATTATACAAACCTTTGACACTTCACTGGCTTCTTCATCAGGCAAAGATGTTGAAAAACATACCGGAGAAGAAAAGTGAAGATGTCATAGATACAGACCTACATTTTGTCTCAGTTGTCACTTCAGTTGTCAGTTCAGATGGTTTGAAGAGATATAAACGCAGGCAGAGGTCACTCCACTTCTTGGCCATGTGAATATCGGGAACAAAGGGCAGTAAAAGCCAGGCAATAAAATTTCAAATCTCTTAGCAGCAGCCTAACTTCCACTGAGATCCAAAGCAAAGTTAGACCTGTGAACATCATCACTTTCCTTCTCCTGTATGATTTTTAACATTTTTACCTGATGAAGAAGCCAATGAGACCTCCAAAGCTTGCATGGTATGTTTTGTGCATTGGTCAGCCAACAGATGTATCCCTATTTTGGGGATTTTGTTGTACTCCAACTCTGAAAAGGGCCTTTGCAGACTGCTGGAAATAGTGCAAATTGAGTCCACGGTTAGGGTTAGGGTTAGTGCTAGGGAATCATGGGAATTGTTTTGTTTCTGACACATTGAGCCTTCTCTGTCAGAGAGCTCTGGTGCCACAATAGACTACAATTCCCATGATTCCCTAGCACTGAGTCAGGGCAGTTAAAGTGGACTCAATTTGCACTATTTCTGGCAGTCTGCAAAGGCCCAAACAGGAGCAGCTGTACCTTTCCAGAAAAGTTTGACCTCACTGTCCCTCAATCTAGTTTCACGGAAAAAGCAGCATTAACTGTTTCCTTATCCTTTTACGTAGGTCACAAAGGAGTCCCCCAAAGTTGTTTTCAAGAAGGAAAAAGTGTGACTTGACTTTGTATGGTTTTGTTTTGGGCTAGGCCACATGCCAGGACCCCAAAGGAGGACAAGGCACTGCAAAATATAGGGCATTCAAGGGAAAAAAAGTAGGACGTTACACAATAAAAGTTTAAAACACTTATAGGAATGAATATAAATGCATGCTTCTTAGTCATGCCCAAAATGGAGGACATTTTAAAATTCCTCCTGGACAGAAGGCTGAAATGTAAGACATGTCCTCAAAAAGGAGGACCCATGGCCACCCTGCCCCAAAGTTACCCATCAGCCAGAGTATGCGTGAAGGCTTTTGTTTGTTGCGGTGGTGTGTTGTTGGGGTCTCTGAAGTCGATTTTCAGAGACCCCAAGGCAACCTTAAAATAGGGTTTTCTTGGCCTGCTTCTTCAGAGGGGGTTTGCCATTGCCATCCTCTGAGGCTGAGAGAGTGTAGTGCCACTCAGGGAGAGGTGTGTGTGCTCAAAGGGAGATTATGAACCCTGCTCTCCAGAGTTGTAGCCAAACACTGAAAACACCTACACTTGAGGAATAAAATGGCTTAGCTTCCTTCTCTTGAGCATCTATACTGCAGAAATAATCTGGTTTGACAGCACTTTAACTGCCATGGCTCCA